TTCTCCTCTTTCGGAAAATAGAAATGTTGTTTTGTTAAAGGCTTTCATGGCCAGAATCACTGGGTTGTTGTAAGTTTTTTGGGCTATATGGCCATGTTCTAGAAGCATTCTCTCCTGACGTTTCGCCTACATCATGGCAAGCATCTTCAGAAGCTGTGCGACCTCACAACCTCTGAGGATGCTTGCCATAGATGCAGGCGAAACGTCAGGAGAGAATGCTTCTAGAACATAGCCATATAGCCTGAAAAACCAACAGCAACCCAGAATTGTTGTTGTTTTATATTGTTTTATGATGTTGTCTATTTTAGCTATGCTGATATTTTAACTATGTTGATCGGGCTTGTTCCCATGTAACCCGCCCTGAGTCCCTTCAGGGAGATGGAGGCAGAATACAAAAAGTGTCAAACAAGTTCCTCACTTGAATTCCCTTACAGTGCCTCCAGAGAATCCGGATGAATCCACACCTGCTGCTCATGAACGCCAGATCAGTCAATGGCAAAACTGCCGCCACCAGGACCTCATCCTGGAAGGCCAGGCTGGCCTGATGTTCATCATGGAGACCTGGCTGGAGGAGAGCAGGGGGAGTTAATCTCTCTTATCTCTGCCCACGAGGTTTAACAGCCCAGCAGCAGGCAAGGGCCAGGGGCTGGGGAGGAGGGTGGCAGTGATCTATCAGATTACCATCCCCCTGACCAGGACCTCCTTGCCCTTTTCCAATGGTTTCAAGTGGAGCACCGTGTCCCCTGATACATCCTAGGGTGCAAACTTAGATCTGGCAGGGAAACACAAATGGCCGCATGAGACCACACGATTACTGAGAGAAGGCTCCTTTTTGGGTGCTGTCACAGCACTCTGGAGCTCCTAATAGTGAGCAACCAAGAGCCCCCTGCATTTAAGTTGATTTGACCTAGAGCAGGGAGTTCCACAGTTCCTGGTTGTTTGGAGAAGCCAGCCTCACTGGGAATGTGCCAACAGCAGCAGCTTCAACAATAAAGTCCTTCTTTTGCCTTGCTCTCTTCCCCTGACCCTAACATTGTAACAAATCTCCTCAATAAAGTATCTTTAAATTGTAACCTTTACCTCTCATAGTGATACATTGTGTCTGTTCGCTGACTCTAACCTTCTAACGCATGAAACTTTCCTTTCCTGAGCTATGGGCAGCCACAGGCTCGCCTGGGATGCCTTTCCGGTGTCCCAAGTAGACTGAAACTGCACTCCTTTGAACGGCGGATACGGAAACCCATCGGGTCCCCGTATCCGCGAGTCAACGGATCATCCTCATTTCAGTGTCATATTTTTCCTAGATTAATTCTAAGACTAACTGCTATCTCGCTTTTTGCATTCTAGACTCCTACGCTCTGGGAATAACCTTTTGTTTCAAAGAATAAGATTTAAAGGGGAAAACAGCTGATTACTGTTCAACCTCACAGCAACAACAAACAATATCGTGCAAATTTTAGTACAGTCATATCTTCTTATGAGTAGCTTGTAAATCAGCCGTCCATGACCGGTTTCGGCCTACTTGTTCTCCTCAGGAGATACAGATTTTTGGCTCAGTGGTATAAGATACTCTGCTCTGTGTTGAGTTCTGGCTGTGAGTGTATAACTTTATACCACTGAGCCAAAAAAATCTGTATCATCTGAGGAGAACAAATTCTCAAGTGTATAACTTTTCCACCAGAAGAAGGCCTGAAGTAGGCCGAAACCGGTCGTGGACGGCTGATTTACAAGCTACTCATACGAAGATATGACTGTACTAAAATTTGAACGATATTGTTTGTTGTCGCTGTGAGGTTGAACAGTGCAATATGTTTATATACTGTTGTTGAATTATACTATTGTTTATCTTATACAAGTGGTATATTTGTTGTATGCACTTCATTCAGGAACCCATTTATATTATATTATACTGAAAACAGCTGATTGTCATCCATGGCTCCCTGCCGCCGTGCTGATCCTGACATCCTCTCGCCATTGTCCAGGAGCCCGTGACTCGGGGGAACTTGCTGTGGTCACCCCTTGGGACCCCTGGGAAGCAGACAAGCTGGCTCCGAAACTGAATGACAGTTATAGTTTCCTTCTTCCAGACAGGCGAGCTTCGGCTCCTAGAGGTTGCAGTGATCCCAGTTTGGACTCTATGGGCTCCCGGAGCCATCTCCCTTGAAACTTATTGACACCTTTGAACTCTGCTGGACTCCTTGCCCACATTTAGGAAACTTTTCAAACTCTTCTTTGAACTTTTTCCCCATGGACTGCTGCTATGAATTTGGGCTTTCCTAATGAACTCTGTGGACCCATATGAATGCTTCCCCATGCCATTGGACAATGGTCAGCAATAAAATCAACTTTTATTGGACTTTGGCCAATTTTTGATAAACTTTTAAAACTTTTTAGAAACTTTCTGTCCCCGGACCTCATGTATTCCCTTTATGATCTTAGGCTTCCAATGAACTTTTGGTGGGTGGAATGGGTTGATATGATTCCCTTTTTCCCCTCTCTATGAATGTATGCCTTATGAACCCCATATATGTGCCTGTATAAAATATGAAATGCCACTCCTTCATGACCCCAGCATACCAAGAATCTCAGGAAAATCTTCTCATTTTCTGGGGTAGATAATCCCTTGACTGAAAGAACCCAGCAGAAACCTCTTGCATGGACAGTCTAATAGGCACATCCCTTCAGGCTTCGGAGCAGGGCCACCTGGAGGATGTGCCCCATGGTGATTTAATCATTTTTCAAAAGGGGACATCCTGCCTTCAAAAAGCTTTGGATGTCCCAACTGCCTCATCCTTTGTCTTCACCACCTGGCCGAAACCTATGACAAGATATCACCTATTGTTCACATATTCAGACCTAAGGATTATCAGGACTTGGCATTAATGCCAGAGATGTTTATTTTACCCACTCAAGACAATACTAGGCTAGCTTGAAAGCCCCTCAGGTTATCGCCAGAAATTGGACACACATTGAGTCACTTTGATCCACTGAACTTTTCTTCCCAGTTCTTTGTTTCCCACCTGTACTGCTTCCTCTCCTCTGATTGGCCAAGAGGCCGAACCGGCGCTGCTTCTCTGATTGGCTGAGGTGCGGCTAAGCCAGTTGCGACTCCCCTCCAGTTGATAACGACAGCCAATCAGAATGAAGCTGGCAAGGGGACGGGGGGGGGGGGGGGGGGGAAGTTTGAACGTTGACAGCTCCGTTTTTACTATAAAATGTACTGTTTTGCCTTGTACGCTATGTCAGCTTGGCGAATGAGCGCGGTTTGACGTCGGTTCCAGCTGGATCGCAATAAATCAACTTGGTGGCATTTTCTTCGGCTTTGGTGAGATTTATTTGAAAAAATTCAGGGAAATTTCTTTTCGTATGCTTCTTTTCTCTCGCCAGAGTAAATGGACTCTCTTTGGTGGGTCTGTGGGCTCTCACCCTCCAGGGCGAGACCCTTTCAAATTCCTGCCCGATATCATTCCCTCCCTAAAGAATTAAGAGCTGCTCTATCCCTTCTCAGCTTTAGGAAGGGGGTCAAGAATTTTCTATTTAATAAGGCTTTTAATAAAGAAATAATACCTTTCCCCATACCTTCATACACATTTCCTCATATACCCCCCCCCCCGCCCACACACACACACACAGCTTTTGCTCTGTCTCTCATTGGTTGTCATTTACTTCTGATCTTATGCTGTGCTCAGTATTTCTAAGGGAAAAGACATGAAAGGTTGCAAAGAAAGAGTCCAAGTTATTATATGTTTAGTATGTCTTTAGTAGTGTCTGTTGTAGAGGGCAGGGTAAGTGTTTTAGTTCTGTTGGTTGGTGTAGTCTATTTGTTTTCTTTCTGAGGGGGAGGAAGATGGTTCTTGCTTTGTGTAACTCCTTTTTTTCTGTCTGTTTCTGTCTCTATTTCCATTCTCTTGAATGAAAATGCACATGGAGAAAGCAATGAATGCCATGGGGAAAGGAAACCTCCACAAAGGCCCTGGATACAGCAAAGTCGACGTGTAGATAAATAGAGGTCTAAAGGAATATCTCCATTCCATCCAGAGTCACAATCTATTTATTTATTTCATGTATTTTCAGGAGATGAGAGTAATTAACACAGTGCCATTTCAGAGTAGCAGGGAAATACATCATGGAACTCAAAAATTGCCTAACCATCAGGGGCTTCATCATCAGGCACCGAGCATTAGAAATTCTGCACCCAAAATAATAGATCTCCCAAATCAGTTGAAACAAATAAACGTATGGAAGCAGAAACCGTGACAAATCAATCGCCTTCACTACTCCCCTGAAGCAATTAGGAATAATACATGCTTAGTGGAATCACTGCAAAAATTGATTGGAATTTAAATGGAAATATATGATACATGTAGATGGATCGCGCTTTGGGATATTCCAGGTGCACTGCCACTAGCAATTAGCTGTCAATATCAATTAAAGATATTGACAAGCTGGAATGTGTCCAGAGGAGGGCAACTAGAATGATCAAGGCCCTGGAGAACAAGCCCTATCAGGAGCGGCTTAAAGAGCTGGGCATGTTAAGCCTGAAGAAGCGAAGGCTGAGAGGTGACATGATAGCCATGTATGAATATGTGAGGGGAAGTCCTAGGGAGGAGGGAGCAAGTTTGTTTTCTACTTCCCTGGAGACTAGGGTACAATGGAGCCACGGCTTCAAACTACAAGAGAGGAGATTCCACCTGAACATTAGGAAGAGCTTCCTGACTGTGAGAGCCGTTCAGCAGTGGAACTCTCTGCCCCGGAGTGTGGTGGAGGCTCCTTCTTTGGAAGCTTTTAAGCAGAGGCTGAGATGGCCATCTGTCAGGGGTGATTTGAGTGCAATGTTCCTGCTTCTTGGCAGAATGGGGTTGGACTGGATGATGGCCCACCAGGTCTCTTCCAACTCTAGGATTCTATGATTCTATGAAATAAAGCTTACATCCTCTCCCTTTTCCTACCTGATTAACAAAATATGTTATTTATATAATCGTATGACTTCTATAGGGATGTAAAGTGGCTTCACCTGTAAGACATCTGCTGGCGAATGTTGTTCCAAGGTTAAAAATGAAGTGCGAGGCACTGCTTTATGGGTCAGCATGCCCCTTACGCACATTCATACATGGATCTACCTTTGGGTAATGGTGTTCCTTTGTTCTTGGGGGGCTTGGGCCTCATTAAAGTATCCGCAAGGTCTGTTTGGGATTTTGTTTCAAAAGCAACATGGCTGCATCTATTAGGATATGTTGCACGAGTTTTTTCTCTTTTTTGCCAAATTTTTGGACTCCTTCCTAGGTTTTGTGATTTCCCTTTGCTTGGATCCTCCTATCTTTCTCTGGTCTCGTTGTTCTCGTAGGTCTCTTTGGTTCCTGGCTAGCATCTCTTCAGAGTAAAAGGGGGCCCTGCTGTTGTTTTCCAGCACGTCATCGATCATGTCCAGCAGCTCCTTCACCTGCTCTTCCCTCTCTTCTCTTTGGTTCCTGGCTAGCATCTCTTCAGAGTAAAAGGGGGCCCTGCTGTTGTTTTCCAGCACGTCATCGATCATGCCAAGCAGCTCCTTCACCTGCTCTTCCCTCTCCTGACCTTCAGCCTTGTTGTTGAAAGCAAGGCAACGGCCCCCCCGTTGGTTAATGTGCTCCAGAAGAGATGGATCTTCTTTATTTAAAAATGCTAGCAAAGACTTTCCTTCCAGATCATCTTTGTGGGTGAACAGAACGATCCAATAATCCTTCGCCTCACGGCTTAAATTATCTTGGATTAATTGATTAATGTCTTTTTCCTCCTGAGTGAAACGGCCCACTTGCATGACTTGTATGATGGCATGTGGACCTGGGTAGCACCATTTTATGCACTTTTCAACTTTTTGGAAAATGTCTTTCTCCTGTTTTTCTTTGGTGTCAAAAAGCCCAGGAGTGTCAACAACCACAATTTTCCTGCCATCAATTACGGTCTCATACTTTTCAAATGTTTTTGTCACTGATGTGGGTGATATGAAAGATTTAAACTTCTTCTGTCCCAGGATGGTGTTTCCCGTGGCGCTCCTCCCGGCTCCGGTTCTCCCTACGAGGACAATCCTCAGTTCAGTGTCTGAAACAAGGGAGGGAACAAGAGAAGACGCTGTCAGGCAAGGGGAGCTCTCTTTCACTAGTCTGACCCACCTCTGCTCACTAGAACCCATGAAGCAAAGTGGCAAATTGTCATCTATCATGTTCTGCAGTTGTTGTTGGTGCGTGATGGAAGGGTTAATGTAAGTCTTACTTCTAAAGTGTTGAGTAATCTGTAAGTAAGGGTTCACGGGTGAAAGCAATTAAGGGTGGAGGTATGCAAGAGATGGGTTGCAGCTGGGTGTTGCGAGCCTTGGGACTGATCATTGAGAGAAACATATTTGTTTTATTTTGATGGTAGATGCTGCTGGTTTTCCCCCGGTTTGTGGATTTTCGGTATCCTGACCTGAACCCTTGGAACCCTGGCTCCATGTGCAGAACTGCAGCTTTGCTGAACCATTCAGGGTTTGCTCCCTTTGTGAGGAAAGTCTGATACAAAACAGGTAAAATGTTCACATGTTGGTAGAAAATAAAGATAGGCTTGATTGGGTACAATGTAGGCCTCATCTGTCATATAACCTAGTATCTGCTCCCAGATTATCTGCTTTGAACTGGGTGATACTTATTTATTTCATATCAAAAGCATTGCAATGCCAGCTAGCTTGTAGAGTTGATCAAGAGGTGTAGGTTTAAGACATCCTGTGATTATTCCGCATGTTTCATTCAATGCTATGTTCACCTGTTTTGCATGGGCAGACGCTGGACGGGGCAGGCAGACTCGGCAGTTGAGTAAGACAAGGCTCATGTTCTTATTAATTTTGGATCTGCACACCATGTGCTGCCAGTTTTCACACTATGTTATTACGTGCAGCTACTTTGTGCTTGGTGTTCAAGCAATGTTTCCTATATACTAGTGTTTGATCTAAGGTGACACCGAGATATTTAGGATGGAAACAATGTTCAAGCTCTTGACCTTCCCAGGTGACTTCCAATTTCCTGTTGGTTTCACGGTTGTATGTGTGGAAAGCACACACTTGTACCTTGGCAGGGTTAGGTTTTAGGTGGTTATCTTTGGATGATATGAACCGACACTGTCATATGACCCAGTTCAAAGTAGATAATATGGATTTTATGGGGCAGTTTAGATAGATAGGTCCTCAACCTTAGGTATTAAGACATGTGCACAGAATTCGTTCCTATTGACACGAAAGCCTGTGTTCATTTGCAGCCAAACTTGCCTCCTTGCCTGGAAAGGGAGTGTGTGTGTGGTGGGGCGCAGGCAGGCCCAGAGCATGCCTGCAGCTAAGTGTCTCTTACTCTTGAGTAAGAGGTGCTTGGCTGCAGGCAGTGGCAAGTGCGCACGCTTTCATGGCCTGCCGGCATGCCAAACACACACTCTCTTTCCAAGGAGAGTGTGTGCATTGTGTGGCAGCAGGCCCGGAAAGCACGCACACTTGCCAGTGCTTGCAGACAAGCGCCTCTTACTTAAGAGTAGGAACAGCAGGTGCCAGGTAAGAAGAACGGACGCCTCCTTAAAGCGTGCAGGGAAGGGCAGCCAGTGGGTGAGAAGCCCTCCCCCCATAATGGCCCGATTTTCCGGGTCCCAAACCGAAAAGAAATATCTACCTTTCCGATTTTGGAAGGCTCCCCATAAACGGATCAGGGGCCCCCACAAACGCTGCCACACATATTGGAGCAAGGTTTTCCCCAAAAACAGAAGTATAAGAGTCATTAAAATCTCAGATATTCCCCATCCAGGCGTATTCTTCACGTGATGAGAATCCTTTTCAGGGCTCATGACTTCTTAATCTGAAACAGAAAAAAAAAAAAAAAAATCCAGGGAATCAGCTAAAGCGAGGAAGGGCTGAATAGCTGGAAACAAAGCGGTTTGGCTTTTCATTTGGAGGCAAGCCCCAGTTACACAAATTCCCAGCTGAGAAGTTATGCTGCTACCTTTTAAAACAGTGTTCTCAACCTGGGGTCAGGACCCCTGGGGGGAGTCATGAGGGGGTGTCAGAGGGGTCACCAAAGACATCAGAAAACACAGTATTTTCTGTTGGTCATGGGGGTTCTGTGTGGGAAGTTGGCCCAATCCATCATTGATGGATTTCAGAATGCTCCTTGATTGTAGGTGAACTATAAATCCCAGCAACTACAACTCCCAAATGTCAAGGTCTATTTTCCCCCAAACCCATCAGTGTTCACATTTGGGTATATCGAGTATTCCTACCAAGTTTGGTCCAAATTCATTATTGTTTGAGTCTGGATGTAGGTGAACTCCAAAGCTCAAGGTCAATGCCCACCAAACACTTGTAGGTGGGTCATGGGAGTTCTGTTTGCCAAGTTTGGTTCCATTTCATCATTGGTGGAGTTCAGAATGCTCTTTGATTGTAGGTGAACTATAAATCCCAGCAACTACAACTCTCAAATGTCAAGGTCTACTTCCCAAAATTCCACCAGTGTTCACATTTGGGCATATTGAGTATTCTGTGCCAAGTTTGGTTCAGATCTATCATTGTTTGAGTCCACAGTGCTCTCTGGATGTAGGTGAATTACAACTCCAAAACTCAAGGTCAATGCCCACTAAACCTTTCCAGTATTTTCTGTTGCTCATGGGGGTTCTGTGTGACAAGTTTGGTTCCATTTCATCTTTGGTGGAGTTCAGAATGCTCTTTATTTGTAGGTGAACTACAGCAACTACAACTCCCAAGTGACAAAATCACACACACACCCCGCCAACCCCACCAGTATTCAAAGTTGGGCACCCTGGGTATTTGCACCAAATTTGGTCCAGTGAATGAAAATATATCCTGCGTGTCAGATATGTACATGACGATTCATAACAGGAGAAAAATGACAGTCAAGAAGTAGCATTGAACATAATGTTACAGTTGGGGGTCACCACGACAGGAGGAACTGTATTAAGGGGTCGCGGCATTCAGAAGGTCAAAAAATACTGTTCTAAACTGAGGTTAACCTCAGGGTTGGAGAGGGTTCAAGGGAAGGCACGGTGGGCTTGAGGTGCAACGCTGCTATCCCTTCTGGGCAAGCCATGAGCACCATCCCATGTATTCCAGGTACGGAATGTGCCTTTAAGAACACCTGTGCTCACTGGATAGTGGAAGGAGCCCCGTCCGGTAGGCTTGGTTGATCAAGAAAAAAATGGTTCTAAACTCATTTTGTATATAGGGGGTGCTGGCGTTTCGATTTTAAAATTATTTCTGAACTTTTCTTGAAAAAAAGATCGGAAATAGCAAAAATCTGAATAGCTTCGTTTACTTCGTTAGTGGAAGGTGTCCCTCCCCCCGTTAGTTTAAAATCTCGCAGTTTCCCTTCCCTGGGTGACTGCGAACGGCGATGTAGATAGGCTCTAAAAATCAAAATGGATAAAGTCCATCATGATATCATACTTTGAACATTTGAGACAGACATGGCTCATTCGAAAAGATAATAATGCTTGATAACGAAGAAAACAATAGGAAAAGAGGAACACCATACTATAGATATACATTTATTTAATCAAGGAAGCCAAAGTACAAAATTTGCAAAGCCTTAGAAGAGCTGTTAATGACTAGAGATCTTGGAGGCCTTTCATTCATAGTGGGTGTGGCCTTCAGGAACAGCTGTTCTTACCCACGCCCACATCTCGCAGTTTCCCTGGCCACGCCCACCTCAGTCCCCTGCCATCCATCGCCGTTCACAGTCGCCCAGGGAAGGGAAACTGCGAGATTTTAAAAGTGATCTCACAGTTTCTCTTCCCTGGGCGACTGCGAACGGCGATAGATGGCAGAGGGCGGAGGTGGGCGTGGCTAAGAACAGCTGTTCCTGAAGGCCACACCCCCAGTGATCTTCAGGAACAGCTGTTCTTTCTCACGCCCACCTCCTTCCTCTTTGTATCAGCGGCTTTGCACGCCCGGCGATGCAAATAGGGATGAGGTGGGACGTGGGTAAGAACAGCTGGGGGCGTGGCCTTCAGGAGCAGCTGTTCTTAGCCACGCCCACCTCATTCACTCTGCCATCCATCGCCATTCGCAGTCGCCCAGGGAAGGGAAACTGCGAGATCAGTTTTAAAATCTCGTAGTTTCCTTTCCCTGGGTGACTGCGAACGACGATGGATGGCAGGGGAATGAGGTGGGCATGGCTACGCCCAACTCTTCTTGACGGCCACTGGGGGCGTGGCCTTCAGGAAGAGCTGGCCGTAGCCACGCCCACCTCACCCTTCCACATCGCTGCTTGTCGCCAGGGGGGCCAGGGAAACTGCGAGATTGTAAACCTTGACCAGACATCCGAAAATAATTCTGAAAAATGGTAAATTGTTTCAATTCGTAATTACCACTCACAATATTCCAGCATGCCTTGAAATTGTTTCAAAAGTCAATTTAGTACGAATTAATTCCGATTTTAGAAGCTTCCGAACAAAATCGACCAAGCCTACCTTCCGGGGGCAGAGTCATTCTCTACCAGATGCTGTTGTGCAGGAGCTCAGCTGCTCTGGGGTCCTATGAAATAGTCATTGTCCCACAAGAGGTTTTTCAGTTTAATAAACTTTTTTTCTAGTACTATTCCATTCCAACCTTCAACCCGCTCCTAATATTATTGGGGGGAGGGGGTTGAAGGAGGAGAACTATGCTCTTCCCCCTTTGCTGGTTTTTCCTCTCCCCACTTCTCATTTCACAAATGAGGGTTGTTTCCACCATGGCAACATGGGTGGGGGAAGTAACAGGAAAACAGGGGGAAAGTTGGTTGCAGTTAAACATCAACTAAACCAAGATGATGGCAACCAGACCGATTGAGACATGGAAAATGGAGGGAGAAAATGGGGAGGCAGCCACAGGGTTTGTATTTCTAGGCGCAAAGAGGACTGCAGATGCAGATTGTAGGCTGGAAATCAGAAGACGTTTCCTTCTTGGGAGGAGAGCAATGACCAATCTTGATGAAATAGTGAAGAGTAGAGACATCACACTGTCAATGAAGGTCCACGCAGTCAAAGCAATGGTATTCCCCATAGTAACGTATGGATGTGAGAGCTGGACCATAAGGAAGGCTGAGCGAAGGAAGAGAGGAGCTTTTGAACTATGGTCTTGGAGGAAAATGCTGAGAGTGCCTTGGACCGTGAGAAGATCCAACCAGTCCACCCTCCAGGGAAGAAAGCCTGACTGCTCACTGGAGGGAAGGAGATGAGAGGCAAAGGTGACGTCCTTTGGCCACATCACGGGAAGACAGGAAAGATTGGAGAAGAGAATGATGCTGGAGAAAATGGAAGGAAAAAGGACGAGGGGCCGAATCAAGGGCAAGATGGATGGATGGTCTCCTTGAAGTGACTGGTTCTACCTTGAAGGACTCTGGCCTGGGATGGTCCAGGAGGTCACAAAGAGTCAGAAGCGACTGAACAAATAAACAACAACAGGGGGGTATGGTTTTCCTCCTTCAACACCCCCCCCCCCAAATAGATTACCCTTCTCTCTCTGGTGCTCCCTTGTGGCCACTGCCTGGATAATGGAACAGTACCCTTTCCCCAGGTTTTTCTGACAGAAACACTTAGGAAATGACAAAAAACTGTGTTTCAGTGTGGAACCAATCAGCAATTGCAAGGCTTCTGGGTTTTACATCTTTGAAGGACAGCAGAATCATCTTCTGTAGAGCCCACTAGAAGCACTGCACCTCATTGCTCACAGGTTATTATTATTATTATTAACTTTATTTGTACCCCGCTAGCATCTCCCGAAGGACTCGATGCGGCTTACACAGGCCGAAGCCACAAAACACAATATAATAGTTTGTGTAAGTGTCTAGGTCAGGGGTCCTCAAACTACGGCCCTCGGGCCGGATATGGCCCTCCAAGTTCATTTACCCGGCCCTCACTCAGGATCAACCTAAGTCTGAAATGACTTGAATGCACACAACAACAACAACAACAACAACAACAACAACAACAACAATCCTATCTCATCAGCCAAAAAGGCCCACACTTCCCATTCAAATACTAATAAGTTTATATTTGTTAAAATTGTTCTTCATTTTAATTATTGTATTGTTTTTAAGTGTTTTTGCACTACAAATAAGATATGTGCAGTGTGCATAGGAATTCATTCATGTTTTTTTTCAAATGATAATCCGGCCCTCCAACAGTTTGAGGGACTGTGATCTGGCCCTCTGTTTTAAAAGTTTGAGGACTCCTGGTCTAGGTCAAGCATAGGCCAACTTGGGCCCTCCTTCCCTCCAGGTGTGTGGGACTCCAACTCCCACCATTCCTCACAACCTATCTCAGGCCCCTTCCTTTTTCCCCTCAACTGCTTTAGCTGAATGTGCTACGTCCAGGGAGACTCACCTGGGGTCGGGTGCTGCCAGGAGCTCCTCCTGCATCTGCCAGGTGAACGAAGCCTTCTCAGAGGAAAGGGATGGAGCCAATCTGTAGTTATAAAGTCAGTTTCACTTTCATCTGGCAACTCCTCCGTAGCCAATGGAGGTGCCAGAAGGAGACTGATAATCAGTTATCTCAGGAGGGTTACTTGAGGGCAGGGGGAGAACAGCAGAAGCGAGCCCTCCTCGGCCTGCTTCCCTGCATGATAGTATGAGAGCTGGGTCCAGAAGGTCAGAGCGTTACGCACATTCTGCAACGGCGTTTGTGAATAAGGGAGGGCAGGAATATATTTTGTAGTTGGATTTGGAGGAAGGATAGAAAGGAGGGGAGGGTTAGGATCAGGTTTATGGTTAGGGTTTGGGGTAGGGTAAGGGTTAGGGGTTAGGATTAGGGTAAGGTTTAGGTTAGGGTTTGGCTTAGGTTTAGGATTAGGTTTA